TTTCTCACGTGAATGAGGCGTGTTCCATCTTCGTCTCCAAATCTCAAGAGATGTGTTGTATTTATAGGCTACAACAGGGACCCTAAGGAGGTATTAAATTGGGCTTCTCCTATTTAGATTAGACTATAGGTCAAGCCTACCAAACCCAAATAAGAATAATATGTACACTCCACTAAAGTAGTATTATTGAATAAACTCTCAATTTAATTTCTGAATTATATTCGAGTCTCCAATAATAATTACTCAATTTATCTCCCCGTGTTTAAAATATAATATCCATCAATTAAGTTAATTACTAATAATTAAATTAATCGACATCTATAACCGAGACTAGTACCACTCATCACATTATTATTATGTCGGAATAAATTCTACTGGTCAGATTTAACATAATAATCTGTAACGCCCCGTTTTATTTTAAAGAATTTACCAAATTTATTTATGAAAATCAGAGTAAAATTTTCGCAAAATCTCAAGTTAAAACTTATTTCTCAACGGGCACTACTTAACTACCAAAAACAATTAAACAAATACGAACAAATGGATTGAACCTATACATGCATAAACTAACAGCCATAAAAATTAAACCAAATTATTTATTAGGTTTCAAATCCAACCAGAAAGTTAAACATTATTCCAAAGGTTCAACCTGACATAATCAATATATCTAAACCAAAGTAGGAAATAATCCAAGACAAGAGCAACAGTTTAACATAATCATAAAGTAGGCGGAAGCATAAGACAAAGAGAATATAAAGACAAATGACCACCACTCGATCGTCTTCACGCTGCCGCCGCCAGCCATGCTCAACCTAAAGAAGGGAAGAGGAGACAAGAAGAAAAAGAATGGGGGGTGCAAAACCATTATGCTCACCATTACCGCACAATATATCCCGCATAAAGATTCAAAAACCATAAAATAATGTAGGCATAGAATCCAAGTCTAACTCCCTACACGGTCCTATCGTAAACCTCCTATGTACATACAACAACCTTCCGATCAGTCGTCGGCAAGGAAGTAACCGGAAACCTTCTCACCCCGGCTCGACATGGGCTAAGGGATCCTTTCCAAGAGACAATGGAGATGTTCCCCCCCTCGAATAACACATGGATCAGGGCGTCCACCTCCCGACTAGCAACGGGCAGACAACCTCTCACTGCTTATGCATTCATCAAAGGCACTATCAATGGGACACCTAGACTAGGGTTCTCACGCATACAGCAGCTATCGAGACGAACATTTCTACGAAATAACGAGTGCGATAATTATAGATACAACGTAAATGTATCCACCTGAAAGCAGCGATATATCACAAACACAAGGCTCGAAAAGATAGGATGTGAGGTCAGCACCTCGAAAAACCTACACGAAATCAAGATAATCTCTCGATTACTACAAATCCAACGATCACAAAAACTTAGTCGAACTCGTCGACTAAGTGGCTCGTGGGAAATTCTCGTGGAGTTATGGAACATTCGACCCGACTCAAACCAAAAGGGAAAAATACACAAAAAGCCATCTCACAATCTACTCAGCCACTTAACTTGAAATTCACACCAATAATAAAACATGCAAAGATAACATCATGCATTAAAAATCATGCCAAAATTCAAATGTTAAAATATCCAACCAATATTTTGAGAAATTTGGCAAGTAAGTCACATTTTCTAGTTGAACAGGCAAATAGATGAATTTTGTTTTCAAAATTGGACACATAATAGACCTCACTGAATATATTAGATCCACCTAGTTTTTCAGCCATAGCACTTACACATGTGATTTTATAAAATTTAAAACAATATTTCAGCAAAAACAAGCATTAATTTATAACCTGACCTAGAAAACGATTTAAGTCCTGAAATATTGACACGAAGAACTTCAGCATGCGAGGTACAACATATGAAATTTTTAGCTAAAAACAACGAACATACAATTTATAGTAATTATTGAAAGATTCAGCAGAAAGACAATTTTCATTAAAAACCTATCATAATGAATTCAATAAAATATGGGATTTTTATATCACTTAATACAACATCTAAGGAGCATGTAAACCAAATTTCAGCCATTTTCAGCAAGGGACCGATTTTACATAATTTAAACAGGTTTCAGCAACAACTTTCAAATAAACATTACCCTAGCAAATGGATTCCAAAAATTACGAAACTTATACACAATAACAACACATATCAGAGGAACAACATATTAAAATTTCGGAATCTTTGGATTACAACTCGATTTATCACGATTTTACAAACAACTGTAGCAACATCAAGTTCAAAAATTCATATCTCATAATCTAGACCTTCAAATGATACAAGGTCAAAACCAGCATGATAAGGACACTCCTAAGTTCCAGAATCCACAAGATTTCCATGATTAAACATCATATCATACGGGTTTCACTTTAAACCCTAAAGATCTATTACATTAATATATATATATATATATATATATATATAATACAATATATCAACATTCTCAAATAATTCAAGCATGGACAACACAAAAACACACAAAATATATATATAAAAATAACAAGGTTTAGCCATCATTTACCGAACACCAAGAAGAGATGACGTGGGGTGTTCGTAAAGGGTGATAAAACCAGACTCGAAAGAACGCGGGGCAAGGTTCGCGGGCGGCCGTCTCGCGGGAGGAAGGGGCAGCGATGGTCGACTCCCGGCAGCTGGCGCTATGCTCGCTGCTGGTACTACACGCGGTCGGGACAAGCTTCGCGGTGGCCTGGGATGATGGAGGCGCGCGACGGGAGTGATCGAGAGAGAAGGAGAAATTTATGAGAGGAGATTGAGAGAGAGGTGAGTTTGCGGCGTGAATGAGAAAGAGAGAAGAAAGGTTTACATATATATTTATAACAACTAAAGTAAGTCTTGCCCACCAAGAAA